AAGTGCAGACGTCAACAGCCTTAGTTTTAGCAAAATCTGCTACCGCAACCAAACACCTTGCTCTATCAGTGGATATTGCAGCTTCGCAGTCAAATAGTGCTGGGTAAAATGAAATATGCTCTAGTTGAACATATCCAAATTTTGCGTTTGGTCTACTAAGAAAAAAGTTATGAACGAAAAGCGTCAAAGCACTTCACCGAAGACTTTTGAGCGCTACTGTATACCATACCCATAATGGTATATTAGCTGTGTATTTGTACATAGTACTCGTGTACATAGTGCTCAGGATCTCAAGAGGGTTTTACCCATAATCAAGATTGATCATAACAACGTCTCTCTTTACATCTATTCCCCTAAGATGCTTAAATGTTCCTCGATTTAAGGTGACGATGAGGACGAATTGAATGAACCATAACTTGCCCAGGATAAATACCCCTTCTGTGAGACCCCAGAACTAGTGCGGACATTATGGACGATTACGATCGAAAGCTCGAATTTATGTATCGCATGATACGGGCGCAATCCCTATACTTGTTCAGATTTCAAAAGGGAAGAAAGAGGGTAGGGATGTGCTTCTGCTCAAGTGCGCTATTGAAAACTGATTATCAAATTTCACAAACGGGATTGTTAAAGATTAGTAGTGCTTAACATTCGTAATATGAATCTTCCCTTTCCACAAACGAACCGAATATTTTAGTCCCTTTTTTGCAGGAATGCTATCCAATCACATGGTATCTCGCCGTCGACACCCAGCTTTACGTCAGCGCTCCACTCTTCTTGATCTCTTTTTACATCTCACCCATCATAGGTAAATTTTTATCCGCTGAATTGGAAAGTATCCATTTTGTTTACCACTAAATAGTAAACCCAAGTAAACGAAGGAACTACTGTGAAAACGTGGGCAGGACATTCGTGAAAAGGGCGCACAAAAACTCAAGTAGAGGCTATCGTACAAAGGGAGTTTGTGCATTGCTCAGTGTCCAGCTCACGGAATCTTCCATCATTCCTGGGAAAGTCGAGTCCTCTAAACTCCATATCTCACTAATCACTTTAACTAATGAAATTACTCAAGGAGTTTCATGTTTCACTCGTTCCCTACAGTACTGCACAGCCATTGCCTGCTATGGTTCATTTCTAAATCCATACCATTTTTCTTAGAAACTCACTCACGTTACGTTCCACGGTTCCA